ATGCCTTCTTTCACAAAAACAGACTTTTGTTCCTGAACACTATCAGAGAAACATTCTCCAAAGTTATACTTCAAAATATAACGATACTCCTGTATGGTACATTTTTCAGTTCAATGCTTTTACATTCAGCAGGGGAAAATGAAGCATTCCTTTAGTTTTGGAGGGAAATTGCTCCCAGTTGGAGGGTGCTGGTCCATTATTTTTCCTTTCGTTTCTTGAAAAGCACAGTAAGAATACAATGATTGATGACATCAAACATACTGTTGGTATGTCTGTGCATTTAACAAGTGACAGCTGGGCTAGCAATTACACTAGATCAAACTTACATGTTACCACATACTGAGATTTTATGCACAGTGAAGCTATAGTAATAAGAAGCACAACTCTTGCTCTAACACTGGTTGCTTATTCATCTGCTGCAGAAAATATTGCATCCAAACTGAGAGTAAATGGCCCCATCACGTTTCCAGACTGGCTCCATATCTGACAATAGGGCCGATTTCTTGAAAGCATTGTGCCCACCTAAAATTATTCATGTACCAGCCACAATGCATTGTATCTGCCTCTTTGTAATTCATTATGTTAAGAAACCAGTGGTACTGTGGAGTGAAATCTGCATATACTTTAGATGGTCCCAGTCAGTAATGGAGAATTTGTGCCAACTCCAGTCTAAGCACAGTCTTCCTGAATATAAAATATTGAATACAGTGATGCCTCGCTAGACGATGACAATCTGTTCCACTGAAATCGCTGTTTAGCGAAATCATTGTCTAGCGAATAGCATTTCCCCATTGGAATGCATTGAAACCTGTTTAATGCGTTCCAATGGGGAAGAATCATCACTGTCTAGCGAAGATCAGCCATAGGAAAGCCGCTTTGCGAACCGCTGATCAGCTGTTTAAATTGCTGTGTTGCGAAGCTTAGGTGTCAAAAACACCTGTTTTGCGAGCGCGGAGGGAGGTACTGTTTGTGAAGCAGGAACCAAACATTGTCCAGCGAAATCCCCCCATTGGAATCACTGTTTTGCGAATCGCTGTAGCGATTGCAAAAAGTCAATGTTTAGCAAAAAAACTGTCATGCGGGGTAAATGTCTAGCGAGGCCCCACTGTATTAAGACCTGTTGGAGCAGTACTCCATATATACTCTATATGCACTGGTGCCTTGTAAGACATGTGCTCCGTTTTACGACAAAATCGCATAACGACGAAGTTTTTGCAATCGCAAAAGCGATAGCAAAACAATGTTTCCTATGGGTTTTTTCCGCTTTGCGATGATCAGTTCCCTGCTTCGCTAACCGATCATCGCAAAAATGACGATTTTCGCACAGCTGATCGGCAGTTTCAAAATGGCCGGCAGGTAAAAAAATGGCCGCCCGCTGTTTTCTGGGACGGATTCCTCGCTGCACGGGCAGCAAAAATGGCCGCGCTATGGAGGATCTTTGCTGGACGGTGAGTTTCAAGCCCACAGGAACGCATTAATCGGGTTTTAATGCATTTCTATGGGCTTTTAAAAATTGCTTTACAATGTTTTCGTTCTACAGCGATTTTGCTGGAACGAATTAACATCGTAATGTGAGGCACCACTGTACACCTATTACACTAATGCATTGATGGTGAACCTTTTTGAACCTGAGTTCCCAAACTGAATCACAAAACCAACTTCTTTATTTCAAAGTGCCAACACTGTACTTAAAACCCGAATACTGAGGTTTTAGTTTAGAAAAAAAGCAACTGCTCCTTCATTGCAAGGGTTAAATACTTTTTTTTCTTCCTATGGGCAGTATTAACAACAAATACTTACTGGTCCTCCAATTCCCCATTGGGCTAGACCAGTAATGGTCGCCATTGCACCCGTGCA